GTATTTTTCCTATTCCAAAGTTCTAAACTTGTGTAACTTGTAACTTGTTGCTCATTGTGCCTAAACTAGCCTATATATGGGAAAGGGAATTGAATGAAAGGTTAAGACCTTTCGATGATAGGACTTAATCTTTCAATTAAAGGACTTATCCTTTTTATGAAAAGTGTTTAACATTTTCATGAAAGGATTTAATCTTTTCATGAAGAGAATTGTTGAATAAGTATGATTGAATGGATGCAAATTTAAACCAAAAATTAAGTTCATTCATCAAGTGACATGACTTATTATTAATTAGCTATAAATAGCATCAATTTATTCAATAATTTTTCCAATAATCCCCTACATGAATAAACTTGATGGTTCAAACACTGACTCGATATAGTGATAGATTCTACGTTTGATATTTGCATAGGATAGGTAGGTATCCCCCTTTGAACCTTCCCTTGGTAAAATATGTTTACCTTACTAGTTTTCGAGTAGACGTGATGTCCTTGAACTATCCTACCATTTGTGTAAGTGATGACATACCTCAAACAAATATCTCACTGACTAGAGTTTGGTTCTCATGGTTATGTCCATATAACCGTTGGCATCTCCTGGTTCTGCAAGAGTTTAGAGAACTATGGCCCAATAGTCTCTTTGAAGAGAATCCACTTCACTCTCACATAGGTGACTTATGTTGTTCAGCTCACCAAAACACATAATGGTCATTAAAAGCATTACTTAACCTTTTACACATTTTAGTCATTCTTTTCATCATATGAATGGACTTGGGGATAAGAATCCTCACAGTGACATCACAAGGTCTATACATGTAGGTTGTCCCATTGAACTTAGATCTTGGGATATTTAGTCAACTAAGTTGGGTTTTCCTTCATATAGCGCCTTAAATATTAATGGACTTTAGGCACATTCCTTTCGAAGTTTATCAACTTGATCTTGATTCAACTCATTGTTTAACGGATCCACAATGTTATCTTTTGATCTTACAAAATCAATATAGATAACTATAGTTGAGATCAATTGTTTAATGATATTACGTCGACGACGTATGTTTCTCGACTTACCATTATAGTTATACAAGGCACCCCCACACTCTGATGTAGTTGTATGAAATTTTTCTACATTTCCATAACTCATATGGTGTCTAGCCTATTTTCTTGTAAGTTACCTTATTCAAATGTAATTTGCTAACAACTCAAAACATGGTCAAATGGCATTTATAATTCTTTAGCAATCTTATGGATACTACACACTTCATATGGTGTATCTAACAATCCATTCGAGATATAATTCTGAGATAGAAACTTAGAATGCTTTCAAGATTTAATGACAACAATGTTTATCTCATCCTCTCTGTGGATAGGAGGAGCATCCCATATTTGACCATATTCACAATGATTAAATATAACATCTTATGTTGCTATGTCTTGAAATTTTATCCTGAATTTCACATGCTTCTCGTTGTGGCTCACAACCACTAACATCGTTGAATTTTATTCAAAGTCTGAATAGGAATCAACATTTCAAATCATGAGTTAGGTGAATCAGTGGGGTTATCATTGTTTCGTTTAAAAACATGTAACCAGAATTTGTAAATATTCAACAATAAATTGAAAGTTAATTCAATTTGTTTTACCATTTGTTTCTGTTGAACAAAAAAATTTAATTAGAAATTAAAATTCTAAAACAAAATTTGTAACAATGTTGTTACCTCTAAACGATTTCTGTTATCAACAGTAAATCAAATAAATTTTGTTGAACAACATGATTAAAATCCTGAAACAAAATTATATGCCCGATTTTTGTTCACAGACATATCATAATTTCATTCGGTACCTTATTTACCGCAACGAATTTTAGTCAAAACTAAAATCCAACAATTAAGTAATTTCTGTTAAACATCGGGAATTTAGTAAAACTAAAACCCGAAACAAAAATTCACAATCAACACTATTTTATTAAATTCATTAAATTTCAGGATTTAAAACTAAAATCTGAAACAAAACCAACTTTTGTTGGACAACGAGATTAAAACTCAAAACAGAACCAATTTTTGTTGAACGATGAGAATTTAATAAATTAATTCTCGAAACATAACTAACTTATGTTGAATGGTGGGAATTTAATAAAATCTGAAACAATAGTATAATCTCAATGTATAAATACACATACCCTTTCGATTTTTTGATCAAAATTCACCATTCGTCGCCAAAAAAAATACGAGTCTTATCACGTTACATCAAGACTTGTGGACGAGATAAAATAGAGATTCTTTTCTTTGAACCTGCAAAAGGTTCTGAAGTCATGACACAAAGTTAATGGGGCCTTACGCTATGCATCCATATTGCCTTCAACTTCCTTAAGGATTGAGCATGAAGATAACTATTTGTTAATCTTCTAGGAGCCTTTTACACGTGCAATGTCATTGCTATCCTGTCAATGTGATTTCAACGACCACAATTATTAGCCATTAGAAATGACTCGTCAAATTATTCATTTCCTCGTGTAATAACACCAAAAAGTAAATAAATCAATGAATTTTAATATGACTTAAAACCCAATAGATATGTAACCTTTTCTAATGTTAAGATGACTTTAAAAAAATGTGTATTTGAAAAATCATTATAAATTTATGTGATAGAAATTTCTCACCCTAAAAGCAATATGTATTAAAGTGAAATTGCACCAAAATCAATGCTAAATGCATAATCAATCTTCAATGCGCGAAAGCCAACATTATTTTTAAGAACCTTTCTTTGGAGATAGAAATATTTTCCAACATGTTGATTCTTTCTTCACTCTAAATGAAAAATCAACATGCAACTTTGACTCGCAAATTTCTTTGAATTTGCTTTAAACCACAATTTTTTTACTTTGAATTTACAATATGCATTGCAAGTCATCAGTAATCATTATTAGATACATTAAAGCAAGGTTTACTTATAGATAGACAAAGTTTTATCTTGCCCCATGTCATTTGAATATGTTTTAAAAACCTCAATTTATTATTGAGGAATATGGACTTCATCACATAAAGTACAATCTCCATATAAAAAGATAACTTTCAAATGCTCTTCCTATAGCAGTAATTCTTTTTGCTTCATTCGTACGATTAAGAATAAACTTATAATCAAGTTCGTCTCGGATTTAAAATAAGAAAGAATTTGTCTTAAGATTGTTAGACAAAATGGTTAATCTGAGATAAAAATAATAATAATAAATATTATTATATAATCGAACAAAACAAAATAATTATAAAGAACTAAAATAGAAGAATGAAACTTGTTACTCATGTGTAGACACGGAATCAGATGACAAGAGTATGATAAACCGAAGAAGGATTTTTGTTGAGGCCTGTATGAACAGTTTCCTTAAGATAGATTCGTCTTATCCTCGGTACTTTGAATAGCGTTGGACGTCGGTCTCCCATGTTACAACAACAAACGGTCACAACAGTAAGTACAACTGTAGTGATCAGTCAAACACAATCTTGCATTTCTCTATCACCGAAAGAATGAATTTGGAAGGAATTTTCTAAGGGTTTTTCCTATTCCAAAGTTTTAAATTCATTGAAAGGTTAAGACCTTTCGATGAAAGGATTTAATATTTCAATTAAAGGACTTATCCTTCTGATGAAAAGTGTTTAACCTTTTCATGAAAGGATTTAATTTTTTCATGAAGAGAATTGTTGAATAAGTATGATTGAATGGATGAAAGGATTTAATATTTCAATTAAAGGACTTATCCTTCTGATGAAAAGTGTTTAACCTTTTCATGAAAGGATTTAATTTTTTCATGAAGAGAATTGTTGAATAAGTATGATTGAATGGATCCAACTTTAAACCAAAAATTAAGTCCATTCATCAAGTGACATGATTTATGATTAATTAGCTATAAATAACATCAATTCATTCAATAATTTTTTCGACAAAGGTTATGGTTCAAGCAGTTGCAGATGCAAGGTGTTTACATTGTCAATAGATTAAAAAAGTTATGAACAAATACTATCTTTTTGTTACTCCGGATTATTAAAGGTTGAGGTTTATATATATATATATTAGCACATGAATTGAAGTACTAGCTAACAGGGACGGAGCTTGCCAAGGGGTCGAAGCACTAGCTAACAGGGACAGAGCTCTCTAAGGGGGGCCGACCCTTGTTAAAATTTATATATTCGATATAATTTTGATTTAATAGTATTTTAGTTCATGTAAAAAATAAATATAAAAATTTATTAAATATTTAATCAAGTAGGGTTCGAACTAAAAAATGATAAGTCTGTGTTCTCAAATTTTTGGTCTAATTACATTTTAAGTCATTGTAAGTTTAAATATTAGACAAATTAGAAGTTGTCTTTTGAGTTTTGATTTCTGAGTTTTTTTTTTTAATTTAGGGTGAATACAAGGTAATATCTATACAAAAACTTGCAATTATTTGAAAATTAACGCTTACACCCCTACATATGTGCTTGAACTCGGTACCTCAAAGATAACAACAATCCCTTAATCATTAAGATCGTTTGGTTCATGTTAAATTTAGAGTTTAAATACCTAATAAGTCTTTAGATTTTTCTTAAATAATCTAATATTTAGGTCCCTGTTAATATTTAATTATGGCTCCGTCCTTGCTCGCTAAGGAAGGAGTATATAAGACAAACTTATGAAATTAAAATGCCAAGAAAAGTCTAGGGAATGCATCTTTTGACTTGCTCAAAATTGTCCTGTCTTGCCTCTTTCTCTTCATTTGCCGTGTACTTTTTGAAATTTAGTGATCCATTTATAATTTTACACGTATAATTTAACGAAAACTAAAAAATACGAAGAATGAATGTACATATAACTTTCTTTGTCAAAATTGTGGACTTATTTATTTATTTTTTCTTTAGAAAATCGCCCAAAGACCAAGTCTATCAGCTTTTTTGTTAGAAGAATAATTTTCCACTGGCTTTTTAATGTAGATCGTTTCAATTTACTTGACTAATCTTCCTTTTCCTTAGATTGGTTTCTCATCAATGGATGATAGATACCTTCCATAGACATTTTGTAAAGCAGATGATACCACGGTAGCTAAACGATGGAGCTTCAAATTTTAGAGAATCATATCTCATCATTTATCTGACACGGTTGTTATTGCCGCCATCTCGCCGTCATTGTTGTATTCCGACCACTTATCAGTAACAAAATGATTTTTTCGACAACCCGATTTTCATATCCTTTTATTCTGCTGATGTTCTCAAGTCATGTCTTGATATACTCTGAGGCTGCAATGGACACAATCACACCAGGCCATTACCTGAATAGCTCAGCAACAATTGTTTCTGCTGGTGAAATGTTTGAGTTAGGATTTTATCAACCTACGAATTCAGTGAATTACTATATGGCAATCATGTACAAGAATATCCGGGAAGATCGAGTCGTTTGGATAGCGAACCGGGATTATCCGGTTACCGCTTCGGCCTTTTTCTACATAGGTGACGACGGCAACCTTGCGATTAGGCAAGGTAGGATCATTTACATGGTGACAGATTTGAAATTAGCCAATGCAAACGTGAGTGCTACATTGCTTGATTCGGGAAATCTTGTTTTGAGAGATGAAAATTCTAGCATCTTATGGCAGAGCTTTGATTTCCCTTCCCACACTTTCTTGCCCGGGATGAAACTCGGATACGATACGAGGATCGGGAAAACTTGGTCATATACCTCATGTCGGAGTTATAATGACCCGAGTCCTGGAAATTTTACCTTCCAATTGGATCCCGGACCTGAGAAGCGGCTCGTGATCTTGAACGGAGATGAGATATACTGGAGATCAACTAGGCCATGGGGAGATGAATCCAGGCTTTTCGAATTCCCTCGTGAAACAAAGATGGACATGTACAACTTCAACTTTGTTTCCGAATCCGATACATCTTATCTCACGTACCAACTCTATAGAACAGACATGGTTAGTCGGTTTACGCTTCATGCAACTGGACAGTTGAGACAAGTCCTATGGTTAGACAACGAATGGACTTTGTTGAACAGTCAACCGAGAGAAGAGTGCGACCTATACGCTTACTGTGGAGACAATTCGAGCTGCAGCAAAGTTTCATTACCGTTTTGTAGCTGTTTACCTGGATTCGAGCCAAACAAGGCTGAGCTTTGGAACAATGGAGATTTCAAAGAAGGTTGCTTTAGGAAAAATGAATTACAGTGTGGCATTGAACGTCCGGGGACTGCAGAGGATGGATTTCAAGAGCTTTCTAATGTAAAGTTGCCCAAAAATCAGCGAACTCAAGTGGTTCAAAGCATTGGTGAATGCAGGTCAGCTTGCTCCAGTAACTGCTCGTGTTCTGGTTTCTCATATACCAATCGGAATTGCTCGATATGGTGCGGCAGTCTCATCAATTTGCAGCAACTTCCAGCTGATGACAATTCCGGAACAGATTTTTATCTCAAACTGGCAGCTGCAGATTTGGGGACTAACAGTAAGATCAATTGTAACATTTACGTATTGTGATCCAACCTTTTAGACGAATTCGATGCTGGAAAATGATCTAATAAACTTGTTTATTTCTTGGAAATGCAGAAAGCACAAGAAATATTAGGAGAGCAATTATTGAGATAACGACAATTTCTATGACAATTTTTGGTTCAGCGTTGTTCATTTGGCAAGTGAAGAAGGGAAGAAATAAGAGAAAAGGTGAAAGTTTCCGTCTTCGAGACATTAGTCGAACGTGCTTCGAATTTAATGTTTAATGTCCTCACTTATATGCTTCTCAACTCTTGAACAAGCAGGGCAAGACCTACTAACATTTGATGTTACAATGAGTCCAGCACATGCCGAAAACAAACAATCTAAACCAAGACGACAGGTAGAACATGAAAAGGAAGTGGAAATTCCATTGTTCAGTTTTTCAAGCGTATCCGCTGCAACAGATAACTTCTCCTTCTCAAATAAACTTGGAGAGGGTGGTTTTGGCCCTGTTTACAAGGTGAAATTCATACACCTACCTGCCAATTGGATTCCATTTGAGATTTGGGTCATGTTATCAACTGGGAAAGTTTCTTTTTTTTTTCAGGGAAAATTACTGAAAGGGGATGAAGTAGCTGTTAAAAGGCTGTCGAGAAAATCTGGGCAGGGTTGGGATGAGTTAAAGAACGAAGCAATGCTAATCGCCAAACTCCAACACAAGAATCTTGTGAAGCTTCTTGGTTGCTGCATTGAAGGGGATGAAAAGATTCTAATCTACGAATATTTGCCCAATAAGAGCTTAGACTCTTTCCTCTTTGGTAATTACTTCTCATTTCCCCAATTTTCATATCTGATTAAAGAGTCCCAGTCCCTGTAACATAGGTTCTCATGGGATCTTCATTTTGTTCAGCTACCAATGCAATCTTCACTCTACCATGGGAATCTCGAGTTCGAATCATCCAAGGGATTGCTCAAGGCCTTCTTTATCTCCATGAATATTCCAGGGTTCAAATTATTCACAGGGATTTGAAGTCCAGCAACATTTTGTTGGATGAGTATATGAACCCGAAAATTTCAGACTTCGGGATGGCTAGAGTTTACGGAGGCACACAACAAGCAACCAATCGGATTGTTGGAACTTAGTAAGTAGTTAGCAAATACACTTACATACATAACATCAGTGAAGATAGGATCATAAGCAGGGATTTAATTAAACTGCAGTGGTTACATGGCTCCGGAGTATGCTTCGGAGGGCGTCTTCTCAGTGAAATCAGATGTATTCAGCTTCGGAGTTTTGTTGTTAGAGATTTTAAGTGGCAAAAAGAACACCCGTCTCTATCTCGGCAATTCTGTCAATCTTATTGGATATGTAAGTGCCATAACTTTAGTAACATATGTTGAAACGTAATATTTATGGTCGTACTGAAGTTGTTAAAACTGTTTTTGTTTTCAGGCATGGGATCTATGGACAAGCGATAAGCCACTGGAGTTGATGAACACTGACCTGCAAGGTAAGTATTGTCCAAATGCAGCTATTAGATACATTAATACTGCACTCCTTTGTGTCGAGGACCGAGCAGCCGACAGGCCGACCATGTTGGATGTCGTCATGATGTTGGACAACAAACTCGCCATTATACCTTCTCCGGTGCGACCGGCTTTCTGGAATGTCGGAAGTAGATTGGATTTGAGTCAGAGGAACCAAGAGATATCCGAGAATAAACTAACAATGTCGGTGCTTGTCCCTCGATGAAACTTGCTTATTTTCTTGTGTAAACTATATCATTAGTCATCAACATGCCAATTCTCTCCTATTTTGGTCATTTTATTGAAATTGAAATTATTTTAAAAAAATAAAGATAAAAAACAAAAATCAATGGAACATTGAAAACTAATGTCACTATTATGCTTGGAAAATATGAAGAATGAAAGTACTTATTTCGGCATATATATCGTATAGGGTAAATTGTTAAAAGTTTTTCAATATGGTATTGGAGTGTTGCATGAAATATAATGAAAAATAACTATCGAGGTTCCATCAAAGAAACTGTGACGTTATTCACTGAGAATGTTGCAGGCTGATTTGAATCATTGGTTTTACTTGTCGCATTAGAGAAAGCAGGTTTTTTGGGAGAATTTAGAACCGCTAGTTCATTGGTAAGCATGGAGACAACTTCGGACATTGTCGGTCTATCAGCCGCCATTTCTTGAACACAAAGAAGAGCCACATGAATGTACCTCAGCAGCATAGGATACGAAACTTGGTTTTCCAATTTAGGATCCACCAACTCACCGCCTCTATCTCCTTCCCACAAGGCCCATGCCTTAAACCAACATGTTTTAATACCTCACATGTCCGACAAAAGACATAAATAAAAACCTTGGGAGAAAAAAGTGGAGAGATTTTGTCCCTCACGTCCAATTAGATTAAGAGAACTGCTATGGTAAAAGCCGGTGTTCTTCTTGCCACTTAATATCTCTAACAGCAAGACACCGAAGCTGAACATGTCCGACTTAATGTAGAAGAGGCCTTCCATGGTGTATTCCGGTGACATATAGCCACTATGTTTACATCATTTTCGCACACAAAAGTTGATTAGATTCTTCAATGAAAGATGATTAAAGCTAGTAGATCATATTGTAAGTTATGGATATTAGAATTCCACTTACTATGTTCCTACAATCCTATGTAACCTGCCACCACCGAACATTCTTGTCAACCCGAAATCCGATATTTTCTGGTTCATTTCACTGTCTAACAGGATGTTGCTTGTCTTTAGATCTCGATGTGTGATCCGTAGTCTCGAATATTGGTGAAGATATAGAAGCCCTTGTGCGATCCCCTCTATTATTCGAACTCTTGTTCCCCTTCTAGTAGTCCTTGATTGTTTGAATCAGATACAGATTTGCAAAAAAAGAAAAAATGTTGCATAACAAAAGCAAATCTTGGGGAGAATAGGGAAGGTTTAAGCATTCATAAGTCACAAACCAAAAAGAAATGAATCCAAGGTTTTTTTAGGTATGAACTCATAAATCAGTATCTTTTCTCCTCGTTCTAAACAGCAACCTAATAGCCTAACTAGGTTCCGATGTTGAAGTTTTTCTATAAGCATCGTCTCGTTTTTTAACTCTTCGAGCCCTTGCCTGGACAGTTTGGAAAGCCTTTTCACTGGTACTTCTTGTCCATTTAATAGTTTTCCCTGCAATCAAAACCATCCGAAAACTTGAGCTTGATTTCTGGTAATAGTCATAAAAGATTAAAGACTTGATACCATATAAACAGGACCAAATCCCCCTTCTCCCAACTTATTCTCCAAGGAGTAGTTTTCAGTAGCTTCCGATACACTAGCAAAGCTAAACAATGGAAACGCAGTTTCCTTCCTCATAAGTTTCCTGGGGTTATCGGAATCTGAAAATTCTCTGCTACTAGCCGTGATGCTAATCTCCACATAAAAGAGAAGTATATCCTGGCTTGCATCATCCATCTCTCCTGTTTTCGAAGACAGAGAGGTCAGCATATGCAAGTTCATCCATTCGCATATCGAGCAAGGTAGCAGATTGATTCACAAAGACTAATACGAAACACAGTACCTTTGCTTTAAACATCTTCCTCTTTAAAACAATGAAGGATGCAGGAAGAAGCACCAATAGAACAATGGGGATAGCAAGTATCCATATATACTTATTGGATCCTAGAAACCGAATTCAAGAAATTAAAAGTTCCGAATCAATTTGATATCCAATATAGTTGAAAGTCCATATATACTTACTGGATCCTAGAAATCCATATATTCCTCTGCCATTGTCGAATTCGGAAGCTGCAAGTCTGATAAAGAATGTACTTGCACTAGTATCCTCTGCTGAAAGTTGCTGAATATCAAGAAGATCACCAAACCATCTTAAGCAATGGCCACGTGTGTTATATGCATATGCACTGCAACTACAGTTATTCAAGCAAGCTTCTTCGCCGTTTTAGCGTCAGAGGTTCGAGACTTGAGGACCCGATGGAAAAGGATAGGATGAACTGATTTGCTGAGTTGAACTCAGAGGATACTTTACGTTGTTCATCTTGAAGTATGTCTCTATTATCTCCATTACCACAAATTTGGGGCGCTCTCCTCGTACACTCCCCGTACTGGCCTTGTATTATCCGCTTCTCTGATGGGTAAAAGCCTCGCAAGCACAGACAACTGTCACTGCTGCAGCAGCTAAATGGACCACAAGCGTTAAAAATGTTACACACTTCTCTTGGATGAGCCCAAAACATGTTCCACTGTTGATTACTTTCAAGCCATGTATTGTAGACTGTCCAATTCGTCCGGAGCTGCGGAGGAATCTAGTTAGAGAATTATTAGACACCGAATACGAAAGATATGTTTCGTTTTCGTCGCTATACATGGTGTAGTTGAAGATGTAATTCAATCTCATTTCAGGCATGAAATCAAAACCCTGTCCGTTCCAAGCACCACTGCTCCATCTTGTTTCATTACCCCTCATGAGTACAAATGCATCCGATGTTGTAGAATCCATTTTCACCTCAAAATCCCCTTTATTTGGGTCGTGTTGGTCTAACCAAGACGTTAAAGACCAAACTTTTCCAGTTTTCTTACTGTAACCAAGCTTCATTTCAGGTAAAAAAGTATTCAAAGGGTAATCAAAGCTCTGCCATAGTATATCAGAGCTCCCATTTCTCAAAACCAAATTCCCAGAATCCAACAGTGTTGCACTCACGATTTGGCTTGAGGATAAATCATCATCACTCACCCTATAACTTGCTCTGTCATTGAGAACCACAAGGTATCCATCGGCATTGATGGTGAGAATCATAGATGAACCACTTAAAGAAGGTCTCTATTGGCAACCCACACAATATCCTTGCTTGCAACACTCTTCCTACGAATTATCAAATAAAGAGCTGTTGCGCCTGTTGAGAAAAACCCCAATTCAAACTTATTTCCAGAAGATGTTAACTGATCTGACTGTGTCATGGTTTGACCTTGGAAAAGAGTATCGCTGGCTACAACTGTTCCAGTGTAAACCTGCAAGTAAATACATGAAACAGTTGTCCTTGTTGCCTTTTTTTTTTTTTGCAATAATGTAATCTGACACTAACAGTTATCAATATCACAGGTCTTTCTTCCATATGGGTTCTTGATTTTAACTGAAAATCGCCGTAGCCGGCGAAGCTTGACCAAAGACTTTTGCTGGGTCTCAAGCCGTATTTTAAGAATGATTTTAAGAAGAAAAAAAAATTGGAAAATGATATTTAGATGAATAATTATCTATCAGTTCGCTTGTGTATTATCTTTTGCTGGGTCAATATATTTTATTTTTATTTCGATGAATATAACTTTCAAAAGATAATACACTTAAAAAATTAAAATAAAATATATTTACCCAGTAAAAGTCATTAAAGCTCCGTTTGATTCTAACATTATATTCATTTATTTTAACTTTCAAACGAATATATTTTATTTTTATTTTTTTAAGTGTATTATATTTTGAAAGTTATATTCATCGAACAATCTGATTATATTCGTATTTATTTTTAAATAATATCTTAAACAAATTTTATAATTTAAATTGAACACTTATTTTTTTTAATTTATTAAACAATTTTTTTTTCAATTTCCGAAGTATGAAAATTTAGAGGATTTTTTTATGATTATAATAAAATAAACTGATAAAATATATAAACACTAAAGGCCAGTTTGATTTTAGAAAATTAGCCGAATCACTCTCAATTATAAGCTATAGATATATATATTTAATTTAATATCAAAAAGGTTAAGAATTTATCTTTGAACATACTTATATTTATCTAAGATTAATAAAAAAAGGGTAAACTGCACCGTTGGTCACTAATGTTTGAGGTAGCTTTCGTTTTCACCACTGATGTTTTAAAAGTTACAAATTGGTCACTGATGTTATCGATTGGTAACAAAATGGTCACTCACCGTTAACAGATGTTTAGAATCGTAACGAAAAACATACTTGGCGCGTTAAGTGTTGACATGAATAGTTTATCGTCGTAAGACCACCTATTTGACTCCCCGTATATCTGTTGACCAGTGTTTAATAAGATCCTTTATTCCGCTCCAACGTCACACCACTGAAACTCCCTCTTCTTCAACCTTGGTCTCTTCCTTCTCTTCTCTCCAAAACCCCACCTCCTTTTTGCTTTATTTACATGTATGTTTAGCTTCTCTACTTCTGTAATATCCCAAATTTTGAACTAGTGAATGGAATGTAAAAATTTGAAAGTTTGGGACTAAAGTATAAAGATGTAAAAGTTTAGGGACTAAAAATGTAATTTTTTAAAATTTATATTGTGGATTTGTAAATAAGTATTTCAGCCCAAGACAATTATTATAGTGGATTTCATAATTTTGATCTGAAATTTGCATAAAAGTTTATTAAAGAATAAAGATCTGAAAGATATTCGAATAGTCGAATCGAATCAGAAATCTAAAAAAAAATTATGGAAGGTACTTTGGGGTTAGAAAAATTATATGGATAGTTTTAATTAGTGGAATTTAAGTTGGATTGTGGAATTTGGTGAGAAATGCACTATAAAGTGAAATGGTAAAATTTGGTGATTAAATTGAAATTTTGGAAAATTAGAATGTTAAAAAGGGAAACTTATATATGAAATTTTTATAGTTATTTAAGAATATCAAAAGGGATTTAAAGGAGTGGCATAGAGGTAAAAATAAGGATTTATTAAGGGCAATTTAGACTTTTGAATAAAAAGGAATTAAAAATTCATTTTAAATTAGCTTTTAATGATTAAATTAAGAGATATTTTTTATAGAATTTTCTTAAAATTCTTCTTCTCCAGAACCTGGCCGAACTCCATAGCAAGGTGAGTGGGTTTATATTTTATTTTTTTCATTTTGGGTCCATTTTATTAAGATTTAAGACTAAGATGTGAGATAGGAAATTGTTCTACCCTATTTTCTCTACAAGATGATATAATTATTTCATTGTTTCTTGTTTGATTTGTGAAAGTTTTTATTATAAAACCTTGAATCCCAGGTTAGTAGTTCGGATCAACCCGAGACCCAAAGTTGAGCCCAAAGGATCTTATAAAATAGCTAAACCAATTTTATGTTAGTGGACTTGTGTTGGGCCCAAAAGATTTGGATGATAGGTGATTAGTGTTTTATGTAAGATAAAGTAGAGGGGCTAATAGTGCAATTTTCCTTATTGTTTTAAAGATGAAAACCCTCCCCTTTTTGTCATATTTGTGTAAATCACCCCACCATTTTCTCACCAAACACTCATCTCTTCTTCTTCATCATTTTTCTCTTTTTCTTCTTCCTTTATTAAGTGCAAAGTTTTAAGGATTCAAGCTTAGTTTGTTATAGCCAAGGTAAGAATGTTTCTCTCCTTCCTTCAAGCTTTGTTTTAGGCTCTATTTTGTAAGTTTTACAATTTGTTTTCAAAAATGGGGTTTTTTCTTGAAGGTAAGGTAAATCCTAGTTGATTCAAGAGGTGTTTTAGCATAAAAGGTAGTACGGTAACACACTTATAGCTTTCTCATTCCAAGCGTAGATCATGGAAGATTAAGATGTGTTAGAAAGTTAAGTTTAAAGCATATTTAGTAATTTACATGGTATATTGTTCATTTGATGTTATAAGCATGTTAATAAGCCTCTATTATGACCCTTGTTGATCAAATAAAACTTTAAGCATGTTTGGGGACCTCACTAACGTCTTTGGGGTTGATAAATAGAGTTTTTAGTACTTTTTATGACTTCTGCAGGTAGAGTATCGATACTATAGGGATAGCATCGATACTTGTTCTTCGTTTTGGGTAGATTCGTGAGTTTCTGGGCAAGAGTATCGATACTCTTTCAAGAGTATCGAAACATTGGGTCATAGTTTCGAAACTCCCAAAAAGTTTTGAAACTGGCATAACATAATGTTTAAAACTATCGATACTTATATAAATTATCGAAACTTTTGCAGAAGTATCGATACTATTGGGCTAGTATTGATACTTTCAGTCTTTTTTGGTCAAAACGTTGCCCGAGAGGCCCTAGACCCGTAGTATGACCATAAATGGGATCGAATATGTGTAAAACACTAGAATAAGTACTATAGAATGTGTTTAAATTTGGGTTCAAGTGGATGAAATAGTTGTAGGGGTATCAATACCTTAGGAAGGGCATTGATACTGCAAAGAGGGTATTGATACTATAAGGCCAGTATCGATACCAAGGGTATGATTTGAGCTTTAAAGCACGAGTAAGTGTAGAGGCAAGTGAGGGTATTTGTTGAGTTAATCGATTGACGGAATCGGCCAAGAGGGGGGTGAATTGGCAATTAAAATTTTTGTGGAAGCTTTTGCAGAAAATTGAAAGTAATTGCACAGCGATTTACAGTGGTTCGACTTTCTCAAATAAAGTCTACGTCCACTACCTTAGCTATCCACACTAAGGATTTTCCAACAAATTCACTAATTTGTTCTTCTTTTGAGGCCAAAGATATAACCTTACAATTCCCTCAAGAGTATACCCCAACTCTTGAGAACACTCTTTTTCCCAAAGAGAAGATTACAAATTTGCAAACTTACAAGAAAACCTCACAAGGTAAGATGTTTGCACAATTCTAGAACAAAGAAAAAAACACTCAAAGATGAATACAATTGAGCACAAAAAGTGTTCTTGAAAGCAAAATGAATATTGAATGAAAATAGGCTTGAAATGCTCAAACTTGAGGTTTGATGCTTTCTCTTTGATTCTCTCTTGATTCTAGTTGCTTGATGTTTCTTGTTGTTGATCAATGGCTTCTAAGCTTGCTTAAATACACCTTGGATCACTTCTGAACGTTGGGGATGATTAGAGAAGATATTATAGCCGTTTTAGTGTGAAAACATTTAATAAAACAGCTTGGAGCGTGGGGGAATCGGTTCCCCCTTGAAGGAATCGGTTCCTAAGTGTAAAATTCAAATATTTCGACTGTTGTACAAGGGGGGAATCGGTACCCCCTTGGGGGGATCGGTTCCCTCCGAGCATACTGGAATTCTCGGAGCAAAACTGTTTAGGGGGGAATCGGTTCCTCCTATGGGGGGAATCGGTTCCCTCCGAGCATTCTGGAAATCTCGGGGCCAAAACCATTTAGGGGGAATCGGTTCCTCCGATGGGGGGGAATCGGTTCCCTCTGAGCAATCTGTAATTTTTGGCTTTGAATTGGTTCGAAATACTTTGTAAGATTATTTTGAAATTGTTTTATGATTAAAACTTAATTTTACACTTAAGTAAGGATTAAAAATGATTTTTGAAATATTTGGAGTAATGTTTTGATATTCGAATAGTTATATCGAATATACTTAGAAAATCATTTGGAAAATCTTAAAATCCATTTAACTTAATTTGTTATATCGAAATATCAAAATGTTTCAACAATCTCCCCCTTTTTGATATAACAAAACATTTTAGTAATTTTAAGATTTTTGAAATCAAGTTTTGAAATTGCTCCCCCTTACTTTAACACTTCTTCAATTTATTATGTAAAACATTTAACACCTTCAATTTATTATGTAAAACATTTAACACCTATTCTTCTCCCCCTTTTTGTTAAATCAAAAAGACATTGTAAAACAAGGTTTTGAAATCATTTAGCCAATTGATTTATTAATTATAAGCTTAAGCTGCTAAGATCACAATCAAAAGAGAGATTAGCCATTAGTTTCATAAATCAATATTCATAAATAATGTGATATGGCAAAATTGGTCATATTGCTAATGATGATGCAAAAATGAATAAAACATATAAGTTCACACTATTCATAAATCCAAAATCCAACAATCCACAAAATCAAATAATTCAAAAT